CCCCAAAACCCCAAAACCCCAAAACCCCAAAACCCCTTTTGGAGATTTAAGACGTAATTAAAATCTTTAGTGATCTTGAATGGAAATAATTGTGAAGAACAGAAAGGGAAAACAGCTTGTGGCTCTCACCTTAGACAAGGGCATGACTGTGAAGGACCTCAAGGAACTATACCTTAAACAGGCTACAGAGGAACCCATCTCTTTGAACAGACAATATTACACTCTTAATGAGGTCAAAGGCCAACCTCTTAATGATGACACTAAGAAGTTAAGCACTTATAATATCAAGAAAGGAGATACGCTATATTTGAAGGATCTAGGCCTCCAGATTTCATGGAAACTTGTCTTTTTGATTGAATATTTTGGTCCCATTGGAATTTTCTTGCTTTTCTTCCGATTAAGAAACCTTATTTACGGACAGGGATCTGCAGCTATACCATTAACCTTTACTCAAAAAGCTGGGTTTTTTATGGTGCTAGGACATTTTATCAAGAGAGAGCTTGAAACTCTGTTTATTCATAGATTTAGTAGTACTACTATGCCTTTAAAGAACCTGCTTATCAATTGTACTCACTACTGGTTCACTTTTGCTCTCTTGGTTGGATATTTTTTGTTCCATCCAAAATATACCGAACCAGAATATAGCTCAATGAATGTAAAATACGTTTTGATCGTTCTTTTTACCTTCTTCCAAACAATGAATTTCTTGTGCCACAATCAACTCAAAAATCTGAGAAAACCAGGAACAACCGAGAGAGGAATCCCTCAAGGATATGGTTTTGGCCTAGTGTCATGTGCAAACTACTTCTGGGAGACCTTAGTGTGGCTCTCTTACTCTATCTTCACAGGAACAGCAACTAGCTATCTTTTCTGAGCCTTCTCATTCTACCAGATGGCTGATTGGGCTCTCAAGAAGCATGGAAGATATAAAAAGGAATTTAAGGATTATCCAAAGAATCGAACTGCGATCGTCCCGTTCGTCCTCTAATTGTGGGATTCTGATTCAACCTTATATTTTTCTGATGGGGTTTTGGGGTTTTGGGGTTTTGGGGTTTTGGGGTTTTGGGG